AAACGGAGACGTAACAATATAAATCAATATGTATTATACAAGGAACTTTTAGGTTAATAAAGTAACTTTTAGTTCGTTAAAAATTACATTCTATAAATTTTATAGGCTAGGCATAGTCTGGTTATGGATTGATGGGTCAAGGGTTCGAGACGTAATACCATTGAACACGCCCTACACATGCAGTTTTGGGTATTTTATAAAGATGATAGTCGATACTGTTATTCAGTTTAAAAAGTTGGTCGGAGCCCAGTGATCTCTCTTTTCCTTATGTAATATTATGACGAATGTTCATTTGTTCGTAACATTGTAACAAATGTTTCGCCCAGGTCGTTTGTCTTGCTCAGTCGTTTTGTTTTGGTTATTTATTTGTCGGAGTAGACATTATAAAACTAGAATTGTTTTAAATTTTTCATTTTTATCCCTTGTGGTGAACGATGTTCTAAACACTTCAAGAATCAAGTCTAAAACAAATTCAGTCGGCCTGGCATGGACTGGTGGTTAGGGTGCTCGATTTGCTATCTGCGGGTAGCAGGTTCTAATCCCCTTCACCGAACATGCTGACTTTTCAGCCGTGGGATGTTAAAATGTCACGATAAACCCCACTATTCGTTGATAAAAGAGTTAGTCCAAGAGTTAGCGGTTGGTAATGTTGACTAGCTGCCCTCCCTCTAGTCTATCACTGCTAAATTGGGGACGACTAGCACAAATAGCCATCGAGTAGCTTTGCACGAAATAAAACAAAAGAAACTACTCCAGTTTTACAATCCTCAGCTATTATCACTGACAGTTTTGAAGCCATATCTTGACTAACGTGATTCATGTGAACGAAATTAAATATAAACATTATTACGTGTCTATTGATATAACATCTAGAACAAAGGCTACAAGATAAATAAGAAACTGGAAATTTAAAAACCTGCAAATATGGATTATAAAAAAAGTAAGAAAACAAGGCTGGAGATACTGTAGACATTATTTACTCAAACCACAAGCGCTTATTTTGCCTCCATGCGGTTACCTAGAATTAACATTTGGTGGAGTCAAAATAGGGATTTGTAGTTAGAGTAAATAATGTCTACAGTATCTCCAGCATTGTTTCTTTACCTATTTTACAATCCCTATTTGCAAATTTTTAAATTTCCAATTTTTTAATTATCTTGTTTGCTAGCTTTTTTATGCTCAACTATGGGCAATAGCTTATTTGATACTATATCTGACTTTATACATTGTAACGATAATAAGCATAGCTAGTAGGCAGCTGATATGGTTCATGATGATTTACTGTAGCTATTGACTACTTGGTCGCATTAGTTCGAGATGTAAAAATTTAAGCTGCAGCTGGAGCTTGTCATGGAGATTTGTTTGAGAATATAGTGAGCATTTACAGTTTCTGTGTAATTAAATTCTTTATATATAATGCATAGCAATGGGCAAATATATGCCTAGACTAAGACACAACCCACACTAAGCGCGAAAAAAATTTTACCAGTAGAAAAGCAGCCTTTTCAAATAAAACATATAAGTATAAAACATTGCTTTAAATAAACCTTCGTGTCTTTTAAACTAATTATTCTACGAATGTGTGCAATAAAATTCAATATTATGTGTATCGATTTTTCTT